TCATCCTTAACATTTCCCGCAAACTTAAACTCACTGTTATAGTCACTGTGTCTGTGTCCTGTTGAAGGTATTCCTTTCTCATGCTGATGCTCCACCTTTCCAAGCATCATATCCTTCTCCAAGGACTGGCCTCTTCATACAACATGCCCAAAGCATGTGAGATGGATTTTCACTATCCTTGCCTCCAAGAAGCACCCTGGCTTCATTTCTCCAGGTCAGATATGTTTGCTCTCCTGGTTATCCAATGGATATTCAATACTCTTCTCAGCACCACAACTCAAAGACATTGATTACTCTTCTATTGGCCTTATTCACTAACTTTCAGATGCATAGCAAGTAAGTGAAAAGACCATGACTTGGATCAGGCCCACCTTAGACTTTAAGTTGAAATCCTTGCTCTTTAGTACTCTGGAGAGGTCTTTGACAGTGGATTTTCCCCAACGTAACTAATTTTTTTTTTTATTTCTTGACTGCTGGTACTAAAGGTGTTGACTATGGATCCAAATATGATAATATTGTTGACAATTTCATTTCCTCTCCTTTATCACAATGTTGTCTATTCGCCCAGCAGTGAGAATTTTTGTTCTATTGATGTTGATATGTAATCCATATGGAACACTATAGTCCTTGATCTTCAGCATTTAAAGTCTTCCTCACAGAGTAAGTGAGCAAGGCTTTGTTTTCTACATAATGTAGACTGTTGGTGCATCTTCCTCTGATTCTGATGCCACATTCTTCCTAAAGTCTAACTTCTCAAATCATCTGTTCAATACACAGATTGAATAGATATGGAGAAAAGCTACACCCTGACACACACCATTCTTGATTGTGAACCATGTAGTGTTCCTCAGCTCTGTTCAGACAACAGCTTCTTTGTCTAGGTATAGGTTCCACATGAGCACAGCTAATGTTGTAGGGTTCCCATTCTTCTCAATGTCAGCCATAATTTGTTGTGCCTTTGCACAGTTAATAAAACACAGCAGATATCTTTCTGGTATTCTCTGCTTTCAGCCAAGATCCATCAGCTATGATATCCCTAGTGTCATGACCTTTTCTAAATCAGGCTTGCATTTCTGGATGTTCTCTATGTACTGTTCTAGCCATGTTAAAAATAATCTTCAGCTAGATTTTTCTTGCATGTTATACTAATGATAGTATTAAATAATTTCCACATTCTTTTGGATCCCCGTTTTGGACATGTGAATAAATATGCATCTCTTCTAGTCAGTTGGCCAGGTATTTGTCATCCAGATTTCTTGACACAACCTGGTGAGCATGTCCAGGGCTTTACCTGTTTGTTGGGACATGTCAATTTGAATTTTATTAATTCCTGGGGCCTTATTTTTTGTGAATGCCTCCAGTGCAGCTTGAAGTGCTTTCCTTATTACCATCAGCTCTAGATCATATGCTATTTCCTGAAAAGATGTTGAGTCAGCCAATTCTTTTTGGTATAGTGACTCTGTGTATTCCTTCCATCTTCTTTTGATGCTTCCTGGATCATTCAAGATTTTGTCCATATCGTCCTTGAGTATTGCAACTTAAGGCTTAAGTCTGTTCTTCAGTTCTCTCAGCTTGAGAAATGTGGAGTGAGTTCTTCCCTTTTGGTTTTCTGACTCCAGTACTTCATACATTTGTTATAATACATTGCTTTGTCTTCTCAACCTGCCTTTTGAAATCTGTTCTTTTACTTCATATAATTAGAGACAGTTCTATTTCTTCCTTTCCTTTATTCTTTTCTTTTTTGCCATATTATATCATTTAGATGTGTAAGTATCATGTTAAAAAGCAGTTGTGAACATATTCTTGACTTGCTCCTCATTTTAAAGAGGGAAAGATTTAATGTTCCATTGTTTTTGTAACATGCCATTGAGTCACTTGTGACTTGTAGCGACCCTATGTACAACAGCTCTGAAACCTTCTCTATCCTGTGCCAACTTTATTGTCTCTGACACATCTACCTTCATTACCCCAGTCACTGTATCAATCCCTCTCATCGAGGGTCTCCCTCTCTTTCTCTGTCCTTCCACCCTTCCAAGCATGATGTCCCTTTCCAAAGACTGGTCACTCCTTGCATCATGTCCAAAGTATGCCAGATGAAGCCTCAGAATCCTTGCCTCCAGGGAGCAGGTTAGCTTCACCCTCTCTAAGACGAACCTGTTTGTTCTCCTGGGAGTCCATGGTATATTCAGAACTCTTCTCCAGCACCATAGGTCAAAGGCATAGATTCTCTTCCTACCATTCCTATTCATTGTCCAGCTCTTTGGTACATAGCAAGCAATTGCGAAGACTATGGCCTGGATCAGATGCATCTTAGTCTCCAGACTGACATCATTGCTCTTCAGTACTCTGGAGAGGTCTCTAACAGCAGATTTTCCCAATGCAATTTGTCTTTTGATTTCCTGGCTATTGGTACCAAGAGTATTGACTGTGGAGCCAAGCAAACTAAAACTGTTAACTATCTCAATCTCTTCACCATTCATCCTGATGCTGCGAGTTGGCCCAGTGGTGAGAATCTTTGTCTTCTTGATATTGAGCTTCAATCCATATTGAAGGCTGCAGTCCTTGAAGCAAGTACTCCAGGTACTCCTCAGTTTCAGCAAGCAGGGTTGTGTCATCTGCATAATGCAGGTTGTTGATGAATCTTCCTCCAATCTTGATGCCACATTCCTCCTCATACAGCCCTGCCTTCCAGATGATTTGTTCCACATATAGATTGAAAAGGTATGGAGACAGAATACATCCCTGTCATATATCCTTCCCAATTTTGAAGCATGCAGTGTCTCTTTGCTCTGTTCTGACGACTGCTTCCTGGTGCATGTATAGGTTTCACATAAACACAATTAAATAATCTGGGATTGGCATTCTTCTCAGTCAGCCACAGTCTGTCATGATACACACAGTCAAATGCCTTTTCATAGTCAATGAAACACAGATAGACATTCCTCTGGTACTCTCTGCTTTCAGCCAAGATCCATGTACCATTAGCTATAATATCCCTAGTACCACAGCCTTTTCTAAACCCAGCCTGCACATCTGGCAGTTCTTGACGTGCTGCTCCAGTCATTTTTGGATAATTCTCAGCAGAATCCTGCTTGCATGTGATATTTATGTTGTTCTAGAATTTCCAAAATCTGTCGGGTCACCTTTCTTTCTGTACATTTTCCAAAGGGCAGCTTGAAAAGACCAAGCAAATGTGCAAAGGTCAGGAGTTAGAAAAGCAAAAGGGAAGAGTGTGCTTGGCATTTCTCAAACTGAAAGAAGTGAGGAACAAATATAAGCCTCAAGTCGCAATCCTGAAAGATTCTATGGGCAAAATCTTGAATGATCCAAGAAGTATCAAAAGAGGCAAGCAATACAGAGTAACTGTACCAAAATGAAATAATCAACACTGAAACTGTTCAGAAAGTCGCTATGATCCAGAGCCAATGGAAGTGAAGGAATAAGCCCAAGCTGCACTGAGGGAATTGGCAAAAAATAAGGTTTCAGGAATTGATGTAATATTTCCAATTAAGGTGTTTCAATAGATGCAGTCCTAGACATGCTCTTTAGTATGCCAAGAAATCTGGAAGACAGATACTAAACTAATCAACTGGAAGAGATTTGTATTTCTTCCCATTCCAGTAAAAGGGGATTTAACAGGGTATGAAAATTATCAAATAATATCACTAATATCATATTCAAGTAAAGTCTTGTTGAAGTTTATTTAAAAATAGGTGGAACAGTACATCAACATGGAACTGTCAGAAATGCAAGCTGACCTCAGAAGAGGTCATGGTACAAGGGATATCAGTGCTGATATCGGATGGATCTTGGCAGAAAGCAGAAAGTACAAGAAGGGGATCTATCTGTGTTTTATTGACTATGCAAAGACATTTGATTGTGTGTGTCACAACAAATTAAGGCTAATAACTAAGAAGAACAACAATTCTAGCTTGTTTATTCTCACGACAAGGGAGAGATCATATTTGGTAAAGACAAGGTATCTGGAGACAAACGTTCATTCAGAGGTTAAGAGATAAGAGAGACAAAAAAAAAGAGAGACTCAAAAAGTCTTGGAAAGAAGAGAGTGAACCACTGAGGAAAAGGCTGCATCAAGAGCAATTTCAGCAAAGGGTTGGGGGAAAGTCTAATTGGAGTAGATCTGAGGGAAGTTGGGAGGAAAAGAAAGCAGAGAGGCAATACAGACAAAACTCTCAAGGAACTGACTGCTGTGTAGGAAAGAAGAAAAACAGGCAAGAGAACGCTTTAAAGATGAAGCCTACTTATATATGAATAGGAGTAACCTAGTAAAGAGAAAAAAATGACAAGTCATCAAAGAGTGGAGAGTGGTTAGAACAATGCCCTTGAGACAAAAATTAATAATAAGTGGATACATTGGATGAAAAGAAAGGAAACATACAATACAGTAAGGGTTTGATGTGACATTGCAATTAATCAATCCATCAACTTTAATTGTTATAACATGAGATGTGTATGAATAATTTATTGAAAACCAATGATTTGTAAACTTTCACTAACTTTTAACAAATAAATGAAAACAGAATGATGCTTTTGAGCAGGTGAGAAGAATGGAATCTAGTGGACAGGCTGTGACTTATCCCTAGAAGTGGGATCACCTTTCAAAGGCTTTGGTCTTTTCTGGGAAGTGGGAAGCACAGCCTTCATATGGGAGGAAGCGCTAGAGATGCAGTCTCTCCTTGTCTCGGCATAAGCTTGGTGATCCTATTAGTGAGGCCCAGATAGGGCCTGGCAGCAGGACAGGACCCACTACGGCAAAGAGCAAAGGGTGTACATCCTCCTGATTCCAGAGACAGTCCCTGTCACAGTGAAGCTGGGTCAGGCTCATCATATGAGCCTTGTCCACAGGGTTCACTAGCTCAGAGAAATAGTGGGAAAGTGGTTTAACATTTCTGTACCTTGACTTCCTTATGTGAAATGGGATGACTACAGTGCCAAAATACAGGGAGTTATGGGACCCTCCTCACAGTCATCTTGCTTACCTGGAGCCAGCTTGATCTCCAGGGCAGTTCGGATGAGAGCCATCAAGGTGGATGTGAAGTGGACCGTCATGTCCTCATTTGAGATGGGCATGTTCATGCGTACCAGGCGCTGAGAAGGAGCGCAGGCAGGTCAGATCAGGGCCTACTGGGGCCACCCTCCCATGGGGGACTGCACAGTGCATGGCCCCCTGGAGGTTGGGACTAGGCCTTGGCTAGGCGGGAGGTTTGCCAGAATTCTAATTCCCCTGTAGACCCCAAGCTCATCTGTGGTGAAGACCTGGCTTGACTGCTGGAAGACCCAAGACCATGCGCATGGTACAGGGCCTTGTCCTGGTCTCTTTGAAAAAGTCAAGACCTCTCTCTGCCGGGCCAAGGGCTCCATGGGACACACAGGAGGAAAGAAGGGGTAGCAAGTGGCCCTCAAATACGCTTCAAGATTGAGGGTCTCCTGGATCAAGAGTGGGTGGCCAAAGTTATGCTTGGAGATCCAGACCCCTGCAGAGGCGTCCCTCAATGTTGATTCAGCCTCAGCAGGAATGCTCTGCTCTATAACTCCCTCCAATCCCTGTGGAAGCCTGGCAGATTTTTGATGCCCATTGAAAGCACATCCTGCTGCTGGAAACAGCAGAAGGCATCGGATTCTCCCAGTGAAAGGGGCTTGGAGACCTTGCCAGCTTGGGGTGCTAGCCCTGATGGACACACAACACACACTCTGGTCCCACCTCTCCACCAGGTGGGAAGCTGGAGACAAAAAGATATCTTTCAGGTACCACGGGCAGCTAATCCGACAGACTCAGGAATGACTGAGGCAGTGATACCTGTTGAGCTTTTAAGGTCTCTGGTGGGAGGCAACTAAACTGCTCAGTAGGTCCAGGAGCCCAGAGAGGAAGCTAAGGTGCAGGCTTGGAGTCTGTCATGGGTCCACCTGTCCCTTCTAAGCCCCCATTCCTTGAGACTTAGCAGATGGTCAAGCCTCTTCTCTGGGGAGAGATTATGAGGACCTGTCCCAATGTCCCCAGTATAACGAGGGAGGTATTGAGACAGGAGCACAAATGGGCCTGGAACCTGGTCCCACTGGAATGCTGGCAAAGCTCCACCCAGTGGCATGTTCAATGGTCTCCAGAACCTCCCATGTGACACATGACTTTCACACCCAGTGTTCTGAAGAGCAGGTAGCAGAAGGAAGCAGAGTTCCTGTCCCAGGAGGGATGGGAGAGAGCTGAGAGCCAGTGGATGATTCTCAGGAGGGGAGCATCGTCCAGGCCTGGGAGAAGCTCACAGCTAGCCAGGAGACCATAGGCATCTCCTGGCACCCCAGCCTGTTGCCCCCACAGCCGTACCAGATGTCCTTGTGCCCAGCAGCTCTCCACCCACCCTGGCCAGGCCTGGAAGGAGCTCTTCTCTTTGGGATGAAGCTGCAGGTGAGTGGCAGCAAGCACTGCACACATGCATCCACACAAGAGGGAAACCAGCATGCAGATGTTAGAGGCTCCTGGGCAGGGCTTAGAGGGCACACTCAGCCCCCCGAGGCTTCTGAGTTAGGTAACAAAGCTAAATAAAGCCTTGGTCCTGGTACAGCAAACAGCAATGCATACTAGAGCCACCCGGAAAAGAAGAGAGAAAAGGAAAACAGATGGGCAGCTCAGGAGCTGACAGGGGTCACTGAGGGAGGCAGGTGGTAGTAGGGGCAAAAGACTACCCTGAAACCCCAAAGCTCCCCATTCTGCCCCTTCTTAACGCACCCAGAGCCTGGGGCCCTGGAGACAAGTGGCTCTGGGAGCAGGGTGCTCTGGGACACACCATGAGTGTGGGTGTCATGTGGAGGCTGCTCTTCCCCCTGCCGAGGCTCCAGGGCAGGAGAGCTAGGTCTGAGCCAAGAACACAACCCTGGCTCCAGTTGGCATAACTGTCAAAAGCTGGTCTGTGCCTTCATCTCCAGGGAGGAATGTCAGGAAAGGTAGGTGAAGGGCTTGGGCTCTCAAACAGAAACACCCAGAGAGGGAATGGGCCCGGGCAAGAGGACATGCATCTTGTTGCCATGTCCCTTTGTGGGGAAGGAAGTGAGGAGAGGGCTGAGGAGAAGGAGACAGTGACACAGGCAGGAGCAGAGAGTCAGCACGCAAATGGGTGGATGGGCAGACGGACAGACCACGCCCGTCTGAGAAGACGGAGCCCCAGCAGACAGCCGGGGTGCAGGGTCTACCTTATACGCAACGCGAGCGGGGCATTTCTTCCCCAGGCCCAGAGGTGGGGACATGTGCTTCAGCATCTCAAACATGTCATTGTAACTGATGCGCCCACTGGAGACCCATCCAGCGGCCAGGCACATGGGATCCACAGGAGGAGCCAGCGAAGGGAGCAGGGAGGGAGAGGACGGGAGAGATGGGGCGGGCAGACAAGAAAACAGAGCCAGTTAATCAGAAACGCCAGGCTGAGGGCCAAAAAGTAAAAATACATAAAATGAGGGACTCCTCTGCTCTCCTGTGGATCCCACCTCAGCACCCTCTCCCCCAGCCCCCACCCCCTGCTCCTGGAGTCAAGGGGACCCCACTCTCACCTCTACTCTGCCTGCAGGGAGGCGGGTAGGGATGGTTGGTGTCTAAGCTAATGAACATGGAAGGGAAGAAGGAAGGGCTGCAACGGGTGGCCTGGGGGGTAACTTCTGGCTTCAACGTTTTAGAAATCATGGGATGCCGAATTAGAGCAGTGCGGCTTCACCATGCCAGGAAAGCTGGCAGACAGAGTTATGTGACAGGTGGGGCTGAGGCTGCGCATCACAGACAACATTTCTGCTTTCTCTGACGCTCAAGCTTTGCTTTCAAATTGCCCTACAGGCTAAAAGATGAGACCCTCAAGGAAACCAGAAAACCAGGGGAGGGACTGCCACTCTGTCTGCAGGAAGTCACACAGGCCGACCTCGGGGTAAGAGTGTAGACACCTCCCACACACCCTTGGACAGCACGAGGTGAGGATGCGTCCACAAAAGGAGTGAACTGGCCCCCAGTGTGGGCCCTGGGAGCCAGAAGGTTCTGGAGGACTAGGGAGATGACTGCAGTGGGTGACTGGTCTTCCAGAGTTGGAGGATGCTGGGTAGGGAGTGTGCAGCCCATCCTAGGGAAAGGGGACAGGAGAGCTTGCCCTCTCCAGCAGGTTGGCTCTGGGCCCTTAGGGCAGGAAATCCAAGGCAGGAGACACAGCCAGAGCACCACTCAGGCTCGCTTCCTCACTGGACTGGGGCCCTCCCAGCACTTGAGGGGGAACTGCTGCTGGGCCTATGCCCACTTTCTCCTCTTGAAAGACGCGCCCAGCCCCCCCCAACCCTGCCGCCCCAAACAAGCCACCCCTCTGTGCAGAAGGTCCAGCCTGCCACCTAGAAAGCTCTCCTGTGCACTGTCTCATAAGGCTGCCTGGCCCCAGCCAGCTAGGGGTTAGGAGGTTAGATGGAGACCAAAGCATCAAGGAGGTTGGAGTGCGAAGGGTGGGCAGGAGAAGAGAGAGGTGAGGTCATTCATTCTCAGACCAGGCAGGGCACCACAGGGAGTATGTGCTGTTTGCATTTCGGGAGGGAAGAGTATGTTGGATGGAGGCTCTGAAGTTGCAAACCTTGTAGGCCAACCTACGAGGGCAGTTCTTCCCTAAGCCAACGGGTGGCGCAATACAACGCAACAAACTGTACATATCCTTATAATGAATCCGGCAACTGGAAAGGAAACGTCAGAGGTTACGGCAGCAGAGGCGCAGTGGAGCCCCCCCGCCCGCCGCCCCACATATTGAGAATGTGGCCTGGCGCGCTGTGGAGGCAGGTAGAGGCCAAGAGGAGGTGGGCCACCCAAGGCAACTTCTGGAGCTAGATTTGGGGCAGGGGACACCCAGATGGAGGCACAGGTCTGTCCTGTCTCCCAATCCTGAGCCTCCATTCTACACACAGTGCCTCCCACTCCACCCTTGCCCAGGTGTCCATCCCTCTTCAATGCCTGGTCAAGTTCCACCGGGTCAGGCCCCACCTAGTCAAGTGTCCCGAGGTGTCTGCCCGTCTACCTAGACAGTGAAATCTCACTGGACATGCTGGCCCTCATCCCAGGGTCTCAACAGGAGTCCCTTGGGTTAGCTTAGACACTCAGCCTTATTTTGCTTGTCCCCATCCTAAGTCCATACAGCTTTAGATTGGCCAAATTCTTCCTCAAGACAAAAAGATCTAAATGCCCACACTGGGAAGAAGAGAACGTGCCTAATTCTGTTTCATGCCACATGCTAACCTTGTTGGCCATGGTGAGGCACAGGGGGCTGAGGCGCGGTGAAGTACCACTGCCACTGCCCCAACTCAGAGCCCTCCGGTGCCACCCGATCCACCCACTCTCAACTAAATAGTCACTGCTAGCAACACAAATTTCAAGGCCATTCCAAGTCTGGTCTCAAGCCCCAGATTCTCTGAGTGACCTCTAGGTCTCCAGGAAGGCACAATTCGAACACTTCTATCCAACGTCTCTCTACTCTCCCCAGCCCTCCTCTGGAACACAAGTCTGCTTCTCCAGTTCTCCTCAGACACCACCTCCTCTTGCAAGTTTTTGCAACACTCCCCACTGGCTATGACTTCTGCTCCCCAGATATGCCATGGCCCCGTCCAAATGAACTCAGCAGACATTGTTCACCTCTGGGACCCAGTCCCCAGCACTCACAGATGCTCAGAAAAGTTTGCTTGATGGATGGTGAATGTAAAAGTGAGCAGAATGTTGGCTCAGAGCAGATGTGATTGTGATTCTAACCACTTTCTTATCTCTGCAGAGTGCTGAGGTGACAACAGAAAGAAGTCTGGAGACAGACATAACTGGAGAGCAACACCTCAATGCTATTCCAGTCCCTCCATACACACAAGTACACGGATACACTTTCACCCACACATGCTGCACAAGTGCACACAAACACCACCAGTCACACACATATACACCCACAAATTTCACTCATGCCTATCCACGCACACAGGTGCACATACATCGTGTTAAAAATCCATGTGTGAACACACATGCATCGCACATGTATATCCATGTACAATCACATGTACATACACATACAAAAAGTCTGAGTACATTCATGCACATGTGTCCACACACACTTTCTATGTGTACACTAACATGTGTACACATGCATACACCACACATGTGCATCCATGCACTCACATATGCCCACATACATCACAATTGTACATACACCCACGTGTCACACATATAATGAGTATCCATCTGTCCATGCACTCACATCATCACACATGTACCACATATGTGCATACATGTAGCCACACATGTTGCATTTGTCCACCCCACACACTCACACATGTACTTTAATTCATGTGTAAACAAACTCATATAAAGCACATGTACTTTCATGCACACACACACACCTACACATATGCATAGACACCCCCCCGATATAAACACACAGCCATACATGGCATCTATCTGGATACAGATGCACAGAAACACACATACATTTCATATGTGGGCTCATGTACACATGTATGTACATACACATGGGCACACCTACACACAGCCCCACATGTAGATAGACCACAGACACATAAATACACATACACTCCCACACATTTCATATAAGCCCTAATGTCACCCATATGCACATACACACACCATACATGTACATTCATGTACATATCTTTATACAAACAAATAAGCACAGCCTTCCACATGTGCACAGATCTGGACACAACTGTGCATGAACACATTTGCACTCACACAAGTATATACACCAATACATATGCACACGTGTGTACTCACACATAGACCCACCCACAAACACTCATGTGCATACCTGCTTGCTCATGTATTCATACACACATGTATGTTGCTTAAGCACACATAAACTTCAAAAACTTAACACATTTGGTTGTTATTTCAAAGTTTCTTCAAATGGTCATCTGGGAAATAAAGATGACCACGTCTGTCTGGAGCCTACTCAAGGTTTGATGTACCCTCAGGCTTGCCAGGACGTGGGCCAACCACCAAACCTGCCCCTCGCTTAGGCTGCTCCTCCTCACCACCCACCTGCAGGAGTGGCATGTTCTCTGTCAGCAGCAGGTCTATGTTATTGTGCAGATACCATTTCCTGGGCAAGATTTTCATTTTTCCATCTACTCTTCAAATAAGGCCTTTCTGCATCTCACCCCTACTAGCATATGCCTTCCAGAGGGTCTTATTACACATGTTAACATCTGGAAATTAGCCCAAGCCCATAGGCGACCACACCCACATACATGTCTCCACAGTCTATCCTTTCTGAGGAGCCCTTGGGTCTTGGGCCAACAGCTGCAGACGGTGAGGCTGCCATCTTATCTCATTGGCCTGCACTGAGCTGCCTCTGTCGTACTCCAAAGGACATTCAATAAAGCATCAGTTTTCTGCAGCAGCACCTCCTTGAGAAAAGCGTTGCCCACAAGCAGCTGCAAGGATGCAACTCTCACAACACTACCTCAGCTCTGGCTCTCCTGCACAATCCTGACTAGGCCAAGGTCAGGTGCGGTCAGTTTACCCCTCCACTCTGACCAGAGAACACCTAGCCTTGGGCTCCAGTAAAAACAAGTTGCTAGGAACCTATCAGGAAAGTGACTGGACTCTCCAAAGTAATGGGGGCAGGGATGTGGCCATGGAGCTTATGTAAGAGTGATGTTTGTCTGTGGAGCTTATGTAACAGTGTTGCTCTCAATGGAGCTTACGTAACAGTGATGCTCACCAAGGAACTTACGTAACAGTGATGTTTGTCTGTGGAGCTTACGCAAGAGTGATGCTCTCCATGGTGCTTACGTAACAGTGATGTTTGCCTGTGGAGCTTACGTAACAGTGATGCTCTCCATGGAGATTACATAACAGTGATGCTCAAGGTGGAGCTTAGACAACAGTGATGCTCACCATGGAGCTTACATAACAGTGATGCTCTCTATGGAGCTTAGATAACTGTGATGCTCACCCTGGAGCTTATGTAGCAGCGATGCTCACCTGCAGAGCTTACATAACAATGATGCTCACTCATGGAGTTTAGGACGCTCACCGTGGAGCTTTTCTGTCACAGTGATGCTTGCTGTGGAGTTTAGATAACAGTCACGTTCACCTTTAGCTGTGTTACATGACAAACATTTGACATATACAGATCCTGTGAGCCTGCAGGGCGTGGACAGAGGAAGTCTGTGTCCTGGCCCGAATGCTGCCGGCAGTGCTGGAATGTAACCATCCTAGAAAGAGTTCCACCTAACTAACACCTTCCAGATTCTCATGGTAATGGGCTGCGCTACTCCAGGGAGGCTTCTGAGAGGTGATAGAGCCCTTGTTCTCCCTAGTAACCTAGACAAGTCTCCAGGTCCATTGAGTCCTGGAGGTCAGTGAGCCCTGGACACTCACGTGCCGAGCTTCACTTTAGAGGGACAAGTAGAGGGACTGGATCTTTATCACAAGAGTCTGACCATCATCAGGCCTCTTCCCTGACAAGGGAAGACTGGACAGAGTCATGAAGGGTCACAAAGACAACTGAACTGCAACAACATCCACACTTGGCTCTTTGGCCTTCCCATCCCACGGAGGATGGAATGATGGGCCCTACAGACACATCCACTCGTTCACTTGCACACTGTGAGCAGTTGTTCTGGGTGAGACATTGAGCAAGGCTCTGTGATCTCATCCACCACCTCCACTTCCTTACCTGCCTCATTCAGAACAGTATTCATTAAAAACTGCCAGGCTGAATGTAAGTGTGGAAAAAGTCAGTAACTGAACAATAGATGAAGGTCTGAATGCGAGTGAATGAATAGATGAGTAAATGAGTGATAACTGAAAGAGTGGATGGGTGAATGTGGGAGAGAGTGAGGAGGTGATAAGTGAGTGAGAGAAATAATGATGAGGAAATGTGAAATGAGTGAACAAGGGACAACAGGAGGAATAAAGAGCGATAAGTAGTGACCAAACAAGTGAAGAGTTCTATGTGAGCAAGTGCTAAGAGGGAGAAGGAGTGATAAGTGAACAAGGATGTATAAGAAAAGAGTGAGTGAATGAATGAGTGGGTGGAGAGATAAGGGAATGAGTATGAGGAAATGGGTGATGAGGGGCATGCATGAGTGAATAGATGACTAAAGGAATGAATGAGAGATGAGAAAAGAAATGAATGAAGAATGATGAGTGAACGGTGGGTGAACGAGTGGATGGATGGACGAGGGAATGAGTGAATGATAAGTGTGCCAGACATGAGTGATGAGTAACAAATAAATGACTGGAAAGTGAGGAGTGAGGAAGCAGAGGGACAGATGAGCAGAGGCTGGGTCCATGTTGCTTGTTCTTTCTGCTAAGTCCTCAGCGTGAACATCTGAAGTGGATCCAGACCTGTGATTAGAGTCCAAACAAGCGCTCCTCTGTGCCAGCCCTTCTCTCACGAGGCTGGCTAGGAAACATGCCACCTGGATCTGCCCCATGGAGGTTCAGAAGCCTTCTTGACCACTCACCTGGCTCAAGTACGCTCCACTGAGTGTCCACATGTGCAGCCTGTGCCTGTACCAGACAGACACAAGACAAGGACTCTTGCACCCAAAGGGGTTTACCAGTCACTCGGGCCTGATGTGTTCATTCCTAAAGTCCCTGAACTTTTGGAGGATGGTGGGGGCAGAGAAGGGCCTCCTACCATTCACTCTATGGTCCCTTATGTTACAGGGCCTATGAGAAGAGTACCTGATTTCAAAGACCCTGTATGGGCCTGATGAGGTTTGGCCAACTATCTCAAAGCACCATTTCTCAGGCTTCTGGAGCCTGGGAAGGAAAATGTGCCCAGAGTCCCTCAGTCCTCTCCTGAAACCCATGGGTATGGATCAGCCTGAGGACCAAGCTTTACAGAGCATGGGGGACTCACCAGGCGGCTGGGTCGTACTCAGCCCAGACCCTGATGAACTCGTCCAGGTGGTGCGGCCCTAGGATGGAAGAGTCCCGCGTAAGGTATTCAAAATTGTCCATGATCACAGCCACAAAGAGGTTCAACATCTGCAGAGTAGGAAGCAGAAGAGGTGACTGGAGAGAGCTCAGCTTGTCCCCCCACCAAAGTCTAAAGTGAGGGTGATGGGCAGCAAACCTGCCCACTGCAAAGAAATGCCTGCCCTCTTGAGAGGGCCTGGGTCCAGATGTTCACAATGGCTCTGCAACAACACTACTTGCAGCCCTGTCCCAGGCCCCAGAGTCACTGCCCACAGTCTCGCCAGTAATCATAGACAATCACCCCAAACTCAGAAGTCATCATCTCTTCCCTACTCAGGCCAAACTTCAAGGAAGGCAGTGGTTTTGGAGTAAAGCCATTGGGCTCAAGAAGTTGGCAGCTTGGCTTCTGAACTGACAGAAGGCAAGACATGCTACCCTCCAATCCTGTTTCCTCCCTGTGGCAATGCCTTTCCCATCAGGTAGTAACAGGACAGGTACACATGCTATCATCAGGGCTCTGTAAGGGGTCTGCTTGGACATGGCCACAATCTCATGTTCCCTCAGGTACTGCCATCAGACCTAGACAGGTTTAGAAAAGCATCATAGTCAGCAAAGCAAAAACGGGGCCCAATGGGGATCACCGATGACAGTAGGGAAGAGGGAAAGCTAAGTGAGGTCTCCCTCCAATCAGCATGTCTGGGCAGTGGACGTTCTCACGGCTGTGAAATAGTATTATGCCTTAACTTCCATGGGAGCCTCTGTAGCCAGTGTGGCCACTGGCAACTTGGCCTTGCTCATCTCTAAAGTTCTTTTATGCTAAGGTGGTTTTGTGCCTATTACAACAGAAGACCAATCCCCATGGCCCCAGTGCAGTAACCCCCCAGGAACTTCCTTCCTTGCTGTCCACAAAGGTCTTCTGAGAGATCAGAAATCCTCTCCTTGGGTGCTCCCTGATGCAGAGCACAATCCATACATGTTTCTGTAGTTCTCTATCCACCCCAAACTGCGACTCACCCGTCTCAGGATGTACTCTTCCCCCACATCCTTGTACTCTGCCTTTAGAGCTCATAGTCCATCAGCAGCAGAAACCTTGTCTTTATCTTCCTTGAACATCATCTACATACACATGTTCTATCTGCAGTGTGGGGGTCCCCTTCTTCCTCCCAGAAAAGTCGCCTGCTCTTACATGCCTGCCCCATCAACTCCCTTCTTGTAGAAAGTGTAGTGTTAGGTATGCTTCTGTGTGCCCACTTCCACCCTTTCTGTGCCCACTGTTTCTACTATCGATATGGATGGGGCAATAGTGCTGGCCTCTCAGTCCTTGAACCCTCACTTGTTCCTATGGCTACATGTTGAATGAATTATTCACCAGCATTGTTGATGTTACCTTCAAAACCTCCATGGAAAACATCTTCCTCTCTGGCTCCATCCTCTCCTTTTCCAGCTTACTTCCTCTAAGACCTGCATTCCATAAATTCTTTTCCACACAGGATCTTAAATTCCTGAAACTTGCCACTTTTTCCTGTCCATCACCTCCCTTGGGCCCTCACCTCCCCCAGAAGCTGCATTAATCCATATTGTAGTATCTTCAAATTCTTCCGTATGTTCCTCTATCTCTCCTTCCTATTTGTTAGGAAAATTCCAGATCCAGACAGTCCACTTATCGATTTGCAAACAAGAGGGAAGCACATCCATGGCCTGAGGAGTTCCTCTGCACTGCTGTAATTCTGCATTGCTCCCTCTCTGCTTTCATTATCTTGCAAACTCACTTGATTAGGGTCTCTGCTCTCACCAGGCCAAGGAAACTTCTCTTGTGAAAGTGACAGACACATTTCCACATCTTGGAAACAATTCTCAGTTATCATGGTACCTGACCTCTCCATGGTATCTTGGGTGGGTTATTCCTTTCCCAGGAGGTTTTCTTCCCTTGTCATTCAGGGCATTACCCTCTGATGGCTCCCCACTCACCTCATGGCTATTATTCTCAACCATGGCTGCATCATTTCATGGCAGAGTTCTGACTCCAAGTATCTCGGGTGAAGCACACAATGTGCCCCCACGGAGCAAACACAGGGCTCTGGAAGTGCCTTTGTAGGATCAGTCAGATAATAAAGATACTTTGTGGTGATCATTCAGGCTGGCCTTAGGCTGTGCCTTGTACAGCAGGAACCAAGAGGCTATATAGTCAGCCTCGGAAATTTACCAAACTGAAAATGCATAATTCACATCTCCAATCCAGAGGTCCAGTGGATGTCTAAGTCCTTAACCCTAAATCTAGCACTAACTCTAACCCAAACTCAAACCCTAACCCTAACCCCATCTCTGGAGCTGGTCCTGCCTTCCTTCCCATTACACTGTGTTCACTTAGCCCCATCTGTGCCCAGCTCCCTCCTACCATCTCTAGACAGCTCACTCTGATCATCTTGATGTCTCTACAGTCTCTCTTTTGCTGATACACAGGGACCCACGGTAAAGTGTGAAATCACACAATAAATCATGTAACTCCCTACTAAAAATTATCTGGGGTTTCATTTTGGACTTGGAATAAAAATCCAGCCTCCCTGACCTAGTTTTACAATTCCTCAGTGAACTTGCCCCAAGCACTGTTAGGAAGGCTGCTTGTCTTATCCCTGTCTTCATTGTGAAAATCTTTCTAGAAGCTGGAAACTAGGGGACTGTTTTCATCTGGACACCTAAAACCCTCTCCATGAAAGTAAAGTCCAGGTCCATAGGACCTTTCAACCAAGTGGTGTTTTCTAGAAGTAAGGAGGGCATGCATTCTGGGACACCAAAAGCTATCAACACAGATTCAGCTAGTAACATGAAATGGATTAAAATTCAGGTGAGTAGAAGACAAGAGGGACCCAAGACAGTGGTGAAAAACAAGGGCAGGCAGACACAGAGGGATGAGCACAGTGACCATGACTTACCAGAAAAGAACAAAGGAAGATGAAGGAGACGAAGTAAAAGTAGGCAAAGTCACTTCCACACTCACGGGCATTGGCGTGCTCATCACAGGCCCGGTTGCTTAGACAAGACAGCATGATCTCGTGCCAGGCTTCCCCTGTGGCACTCCTGAGAAGAAGGACAGAGCCATGTGAGGCCCACAAAGGCAGGGCTAGGGCCAGCCTGCACAGGGCAGGTCTCCAGCTCTCCCCATGGTCCCACTCGGCCAAGACAGGAAACAAACAGCTCTGCACCAGCAGAACTGCCGCGGGCACCTTCTCCTCTGGGATCCTACCCCATGAAAAGTTGGTAGAATATGCAAGACTTCAAAGATGGTGTTTCTTAAAAACACACACACACCACAAAAAAAACAAAACAAAAAAAACCCACCACATTAACTGGGAACAATCAGCAAAGAAATAATGAGAAAGTTCATGCATTATAAAGAATATAACCAATGCCAATGAACAAGATAGGTAAAGACCATTGAATAGAACCTAAAATTCTGGGTAAACATTCACCAAAAACACAATAACTATTCTTTTTTAAACAATAATAATCTGGTATTCTATCTTCAAATTGACCATTAACTGACAAAGCCATAATTTTGCACATTGCAAGTTCAGTTAAGTAAACAGCATTTTATGAATATCAGGCATCTCATTCCTAATATGACCAAAAACTCGTGAGCTTCTCCTAAAAGCTTTCTCCATCCTGTATTCCTCCTTTCAGTAACTGGAAAAGCCATTCTCCCGGCTGTTCAAATGAGGAACTTTGACATCATCTTTACTCCTCTTGTCTCTTTCCACTTGCTTTTCATCAACAAATGCTACTGGCTCTACTGTCAATGAGTAGACTCATCAGTTCTCACCACACTGGCTCAAAGGACAATCACACTGCAGCAGAACTGTGTTAACGGGCTCCTTATTTCCTTGCTTCTTTCCTGCACAGCAACCAAGGTGGGTGATTAGAAACACAAGGCAGAGCAACATCAGCAAAGTGGTGGAACAGTTAACTCCAAGCTCCCATTCCCTCACAGAAACAGTGTAAACTAAGCAGAAACTATCAGAACCAGGGCTGCCCAAATTCTATGAAATAGTGGAGGTTTAAAGAAGAAAGAAAAAAGAAAAGCTGAATCAAGATAAAGACAACTTAAAAGAAATAGGAAATCTCTGTAGTGCCTCTACATGTCCTTGTCAGCTACCCAGCGAGTCTGGCTATAGATGAGCTTTGCCACATACTTTGGGCATGTTGATATGAGAGATTATTCCTTGGGGAGGGCCATGATGCTTGAAGGGAAGGAGGGTCGGCAAAGGATAGGAAGACCCTCAACCAGGTGGATTGATATGGTGTCCATCACAATGAGATCTAGTGTGTCAGGAAGTATGAAATAGCACAGATCCGTTGTTCAAAGGATCACTATGAGTCGTACTCAACTCAATGGCACCTGACAAGAACAAGACTTTATTCACAAATATTCTATCTGCTCTAATGTGTTTGAGAGCTACCAGTCGAGCTAAAAAATTTGGGTGTTTCTTATAAGTAGTGTAGGGATAACAAACAATCTACAGCCACATCGGGGGAAATATTACATTTGAGACGTATAAGATGATTTGATGTGATGTTGAGTCAAAAACTACTTAACAGGAAAGTTTTAACATCTACGTTTTCTCAGGAAGAGATTGACTTTCACCTGCAGAGCAGCTGGTGGATTCAAACTGTGTGCCTTCACGTTGACAGTGCAACCCTTTATCAGGCCATGAGTGCTCTCTGAGAAATAGAAATAAGCCACCTGAATTCTGGGAGAAAAATGTAGGAAGCATTTCTTCAGATTATTGTTGTTGTGTGCAGTTGAGGTGGAACCAACTCATAGCAGACCCTCCAGCAGGTTTTCAGAGGCAGTAAATTTCACGGGAGGAGATTGTTCATCCTTCTCCCATGCAGCAACTGGTGGATCTAAGCCATGTGCCTTTGGGATTGCAGCACAGTTTCTTGTCACTAGACTACCAGAACTCACTTCAGGACACCGTTGTTGTTTGCTATCGAGTCAGAACAGACCAATAGCTGACCCTCCAGCAAGTTTTCAAGAGGCAATTTAATCACACAGGAGGAGACTGCCCAAGCTTCCCTATGGAGTAGCTGGTGGATTCAAGATGCACACCTTTGGGATTATAGCACAAATTCTTATCACTAGGCCACCTGAGCTCTCTTCAGGATATTGTTGTTGTTGGGCACCATTGAGTTGAAACAGACCCATAGCTGGAGAATAGAGCATTTAAACATATTGGTGCATTTTGAGGAATTTAGAGTACCATGTACATATCCTAGTCACATGATAAAAAAAGACCCAAGAACACTGAATGATCATCTTAGGCTGACCCCTGGGCTCAGTGAAAATCTGTTTAAATGTGTCTAGAAAGAGAACCCTAGGACAAAGCCAGTAAGAGAGACTCTGAAAAGTGCTTTTTTTAAAAAGCTCCTAGAATTCGAGAAAATCTCTGTTGAAATACTAGTTGAATACAAGCTAAAGGAACAGAGACTTCATTGACCACCTATAAAAAAGAAATACAGCCTTGGCAAAAATATTTCAGATCAGTCAATAAATAAACAGACCACTAAAGGCTTCAAAACTTAGGGAGCTCTGGTGGCCTAGTGGCAAGAAGCTGCACTGCAATCTCAGAGGTAAGCGGTCCGAATCCACCAGATGCTCTGCTGGAGAAAGAGGAACAATCTCCTCCTGTACCAGTCAGATCTGATTTGACGGTACAGCCAAAAAAAAAATTATAAAAAAATTTTAAAAAACAAAAACTTAAGCACAAACAACACATCCTGGAAAACAGATAGTCTAATTTCCAGAGACTCTGAGGAATGTCTATCTGTGTTTCATTGACTATGCAAAGGCATTTGACTGTGTAGATCATAACAAACTATGGCTAACTCTGAGAAGAATGGGAATCCCAGAACACTTGATTGTTCTAATGCGAAACCTATACTTGGACCAGGAGGCAGTCGTCAGAACAGAGCAAGGGAACAGTGCATGGTTCAAAATTGGGAAGGGT